GCTGTAATGGTCTAGGAGTGCCTTCGGGTTCCTCCACAGCGCAATTTTTGCCAGCGGGGGTGTGCGCGTGCGCCACCCCCACCCCAACACTCGCAACGACACATTTCTTCGCCACAATTACTACCTAAAAGGCACTAGTAGTACCAGTAGTACGAGGCGAGGCGTGTGATCAAGAGATGAAATAGAATATCGCTGAATTGATAGACTGAAAGAAAGCGACGCTTTTTACTTCTTCTTGTTTGTGACGTTGAACTGGAAGTGGATAATGTCACCGTCCTGGACCACGTACGTCTTGCCTTCCTGGCGGTACTTGCCGGCGGCCTTGACCTTGGTCATGCCACGCTTGTCGCCTTCCGAGAGCTCCTTGAAATCGTTGAACGCAACGACCTCGGCCTTGATGAAGCCGCGCTCAAAGTCCGAGTGGATCACACCGGCGGCCTGGGGCGCGAGGGCACCCTTGCGCACGGTCCAGCACCGCACCTCCTTTTCGCCGGCCGTGAAGTAGTACATGAGGTTGAGCTGCTTGTAGCCGACCTTGATGATGCGCGGCAGCACGGACGGGGCGGCGTCCGCGATCGGGTTGGCGCGGTTGGCCCAGAGCTCCTGCTCGTGCTCGATCGAGAACGGGATCATGACGCCGCCGCCATGCGTGTCGATCCACTGCTTGATGGGCACGAGCCACTTGTTCTGCTTGCGGAGGAAGTCGCGCTTGCTCAAGTTGACGCAGTAAATGATGGGCTTGGTCGTGATGCAGGCTAATATCGACCGCTAAGATCTCATAGCACACTTCAAGAAGTGACGTACCCGGGATGAGTTCGTTGATCTTCTCGACTTCCGGCGCCGTCCAGCCCTCCTTGGAGGCGATGCCAACGTTGTTCTCGAGCATCTCTTGGACCTCGTCCATGACCGAGAAGAAGAGCGGCGGCAGCTTCATGGTCGGGTTCTTGCGCACGTCGGCCTCGCGCGCCTTGCGCTGGCCGAGCACGTACGCCAAGTCCTTCTTGCAGAGCTCGCCTTGGATCGTCTCGAGATCGCGGATCGGGTCGACCTATAGCCACAAGGATGAGACATCGTTGCACAAGCGTATTTGCAGCGTACCGAGTCGTCGACGTGGACGACTTCGTCGCTCTCAAAGGCGCGGACGATGTGGAAGATGCCATCGACGGCCTGGATGTGCGAGAGGAAGGCGTTGCCGAGGCCGGCGCCTTCGCTGGCGCCGCGGATGAGGCCGGCAATGTCCGTGCACTGGAGGTACGCGGGATACTCGCTCGGCGGCTGCCACACCTTGCAGAGCCACTCGTAGCGCTCGTCGGGCACGGCGCAGCGCGCCTCGTTCGGGTCGATGGTGCAGAAGGGAAAGTTCTCAGCGGCCACCGCCTGCGCCGTGAGGAGGTTGAAGAGCGACGACTTGCCCACGTTGGGGAGGCCGACGAGGCCCATCTTGAGCGAGTTGCCGGCGCGGCCGAAGCGGGCGGCGGACGGTTCAGCTTCAACGGCCTTCTTCGGGGGCATGGTCGATATCGAGTTTTGTCTACGCACCAATGATACGCCCACATACAAATCCCAAGGTCGTCCTCGACCGGGGCATAGAACCGCCACCTATGACGTGGCAGCACACGCGACGATCCTGTTCGTGTTTTCCGACCTTTGATTGGCGGTTGCTCACAACATACCGACCGACCATGACGCAAGTCTGTCGGAGCATGCAGCCTGTGCATGCCTCCGACGATGCACTGCAGGTGCTGGTTCATACCGACAGGCTGCATGCGTTGGCTCACGGACGCTGCTCTCGTACGGCCAACTGTCCGTCGCCCTCATCGTTGTCCCCACGGCTACCAAGTAGTAGCCTTCCACTGCTGGCCTTTGCCATGGACCTGAGCTGGCACCCTCGCGCTGCCAAGGTTTGCTTGGACGACCGATCATTTCGGGAGCCGCGATACGACAGCGGGAATTTATAGAGGCCTCCATAACGGTGCCTACGGTTATTATGGGTCACTCGAGGGGCGCCCGTGCAAGGGGCAGCACGTACTTGCGCAGAGCTTCGCTTCACACTCGCTTCTCCCCGAGGCTTCTTTCTCGAGCTGGTCGTCGCCAGCCTTCTCTGCATCGGCTTGTCCTCTTGCATACTCAGTCCAAGTGCGATCCGCGCGCTGGCCAGCTGGCGCGAGGGCCGTGTCGCAGCGTCATTCAATGCAAACAATCAAACCCGCGCGAAATAAAATAATATATACTTGATATTTGTACAGCATATTAGACAAAAGAAGAATTACGCGTGAACTTTTTCGAAACGTCGTGGGCGATCCCGAATAAAATTACTTACTATTTTTATCGCAGCGTTTTCGCATCGTTATACTTGAAGTAAGTAATGGGAATAGATTGCGAATAAAAAGGCAAGATTTGGTCTGAAGAGGCCAGTTGCCCTTGAGATGACGCACCTTCAGCCCCGCAAAGACCACCTCGTCGGGCGCCCGCTGGTCCCGTTCTTCACCGAGGAGGGCCATGTGAACGCGTCGCTGCAGCTCTCGTCGTACGCGCCGTCGTCTCCTGCGTCGAATGGTGTCTCATGTGCCCCTGTAGCGCGGCCACGCACGAGGCCATGGACGTCGACGCCCGCGTCTGGAACGCCGAGCAAGGCTATTTTGAATACCCGGAGCCAGCATGTACAGAGACGCCGAAGCGCACGCTGCTACTGACACCACAGCGCCTCGTACGCCGCCTGCGCCAGCAATCTCTGCGGCTAACATGGATATGTGCCTAGGAGGAGGAGCGCAGCAAGTCGCGCGGCAAGACACACACGACACCGAGCACAGAAAAGCCGCGGTCACCACCGCGCGCAGGCTCCAACTCGAAGAAGCAACGTAGCAAGAAGCCGACGGCCGCCGTCGAGCCCCACACGCCCCAGAAACCGACACCGCCCAAGCAACGGTCCCCGACAGGCACGAACAGCACGAACAGCAGCAACACCAACAGCAACGCGAATTCAAGTCAGAAAAAGAAGGCGACGCAGGCCCCGGCCAAGTGGGCGTGGTCAGCCTTCCAGTCCTCGCCGGACCCGAAGACGCTGCCGATGCCGCCGTTCCTGTCGCCTCAGCCGGTCGTCACGGAGAAGCCGTCACCACCGCCGCCGCCGGCTCCGTCGATCCAGATTTTACAGCGACCAAAGACGGCAGTCACCAAGCCCGAAGACGCCATGACGCAGCAGCTGCGCAAGATGCTCAACATGGAGCCGTAAGCGCGCCAACGAGCCTTTTTTTCCTCAGAGACCATCGAGCGCTATGGCGTTGAAATAATGATCTGGGGTTTTTGGTTCATTTCATGTGTCCCAACTAGACATCTCTAACTGGTGGTTGATTCGACGCATCAAGCTATTAGGCCCTTGCGAATATCACGCGTCCCTTGGCACAACTGCGGCCGTTGGCGAAAAGCTGAGCCACATGTTACGAGGTGGCTGTGACCCTCTCGATGCCTCACTCGTATCAGCGACTACAGCCGGATCGCCGATTGTTGTAGCACGGGCGAAACCTGATTGCTCGGAGTTCCATCGCCCGATGCGCAGTTCAAACAAGAGGCTAATTCATATGATACGCTTATATTCGATTACCTCTATTATTACATGTCTGGATACTGTGAAGTCCGGGGTATGAATATTGTAAAAACTTTTATATCCGATGCCCTTTCACAATTGATTTTTTACTTCTTGAAGTACCTGCCGCCCAGAACCTCGTCTCCGCGGCTGGCAGCGTCCTATACCTTGTCGCGCACGGCTCTTTCATCAGTCATTACTCAATTTTATCTATGAAAACCACCACCTTCCTCACCACCAGCGTCGCCTTTGCGGCTGCCACGAGTGCGACGACCATCTGCAGCGCGGTGCCGCCGTTCAACTACGTGTCGGCGTCGACTGCGCACCCTCAACTCGCGCCAGCCCTCGACGTTCTCAAGCAGCAGCCCATCGCGACGTGGTACACGGACCAGTACGTCAGCGACCTCTCAGGGCTCATGGCCAAGTGCCAAGATGCGACGCCAGCGATCGTTGTATATGGTCTGCCGCAGAAGGACTGCGCCCACGGGTACTCGTCTGAGGGCAGCAACGCCAACACGGCCGATTACGCCAAGTGGATTCAAAAGCTCATGGATCAAGTCGGGTCGAACCGCGACGTCGTCTACATCCTCGAGCCGGACGCCTTGGGGCTCCTCGCCAACAACCCATGCGCGACGCAGCACAACTACAAGGCGAACCTCCGCATCGCCATCGAAATGCTCGCGTCCAACCCAAAGGCCAAGATCTACGCGGACGTGGCGGCCTGGGGTGACATGGCCAAGACGACTTCGATCCTGAACGAGCTCAAGGAAGCGGGTCGCCTCTCGGGCATCGCGATCAACACGTCAAACTACGTCTCCAACGACAAACTCCTTGCGACGTGCCAGTCGTACTCGGCCGCGACCAACGGCCTTCACTGCATCTTTGATACCTCACGCAACTTCAACGGATCGCCCTCGAGCGAGTGGTGCAACGCCAAGTCCGGTGGCATTGGCTCGCCGCCGACTGCCAACACGGGCTACCCCCTCGTCGATTACTTTCTCTGGCTCAAGGTGCCGGGGGAGAGCGACGGTCAGTGCAACGACGCAGGGCGCACGAGCGACGCGGCCGTCGGGCCAAGCGCCGGGCAGTTCTTTCCGGATGGCCTGGAGCGTCTCTGGAACCAAGGCCATTTTGTCCAAAAGCAAGGGCTACCCAAGATCGGCGGCGCGTGGCCGCAGTCAACAACCGCCTCGCCGACACCCGTGGTGACACCGGCGCCGACTCCTGCAGCAACCAATGCGCCCGCATCGCCGACATCAACGCCAACGACCTCGACTACGACGCGCATGCCCACCACGGACTCGTCGACCACGGGCTCGCCTGTAACAGAGACGCCCACGACCGAGACGCCAGTGTCGACTTCCAACGTTCCATCGGTGTACCGCAGCACCTCTGGCTCCGTTGCGCACGGTAGCGACGTCCTTGACACACCGACGCCGCCTACGTATGACGCAAAGCCGACACCCTCGGCGACATCACAGACGTACACGGCGAGCACCGGTGCGCGCGACACTGGCACAGACTCGACCACGATTGCGCTCTCAACTCTCGTCGGCGTCGGCGCCGTCGCAGCCGTCGCCATGGCCGCGGTTGCCGTGCGCAAGCGCATCACGCAAGACAAAGCCGACTTGGAGCTCGAGCGCGACGTTAGTGGTATCGTCATCCTGTCCACCGATCGCGCGCAAACGAGCATCCTCTAAGTTCTTAAACCATCGTATCAATTATTCTATATATATTCAAACAAAGTCCCAATTTTCTACTCCTTGCGAATCTCAAACGTATCGACGGCGAGGCCTGAGCCAGCGTCCACAAAGCTCCACGAGAGCACGCTGCGGTTGGCCTTGAGGAGCGAGACGCCGTAGTGCGTGTTGTCGACCAGGACGTTCCACGTCTGCGCCGCGACGCCGTCGTAGGGCTCGTGGCCGCCGGCGCTGCCGCAGGCGCCCGAGACCATGTACACGGGCGCGGCCGGGTTGAGATACACGCTGCGGTCGTCGCTGACGCCGTCGAGGACGGGCACTCGATTGGCGATCGGGAGGTGGCGCTCGTACGCGTGCTGGTGGCCCGAGAGCACCATATCAACTTGATACTTGAGAAAGAGCGGCTCGAAGGCGGCGAGGATCGCCTCTTGCTTCTTCTTGGGGTGACCCGTGGGTTTAAAGACTTTGAGGCCGTAAATCGGTCGGTGCGACCCGACGAGAATCCACGGACGCTCGTGGCGCAGGGCCACCGCCGCCTTCAAGTCGGCTTCGAGCCACGCCAGCTGGTCGCCAAAGTGGCCATTCGCCACCTTTGTGCCCTTGTTGTTGCTCGGCGCGCCCTCGAAGTCCGACTCGGAGCTAATGCTAATGAAATGCACCGGTCCGTGGTTCCACGAGTACCACATGTTGTGCGTCCCTGGCATTGCATTATGAGATCCAAAGCAACCGCCGACTCGATGCACGTACCGTTGGACTCGGCCGACGGCATGCGGAAGCGCGTGTTGAAAGCCGAAAAGTTGCTCAACTGCGCTTGCTTGGCCTCCGAGTAGACGCACGCCGGCGAGTAGCACTCGGCTTCGTGGTTCCCGACCGTCGTCATGTACGGCACCTAGCTCGCTGGGTTATAATTTGTAGGAAGGTGGGGGACTTACGTGGTGCATGGTCGGCTCGAGCGAGTTCATCCACGCGTTGTAGGCCCTCTCGTACACAAAGCCGAGCGCGTTCGTGTCTTTATCGAGCGCCTGGAACGCGTTGTCGGCGTAGCTGAGGTCGCCAACGTGCCAGATAAGGTCCAGTCGATCGGCGAGCGCCGAGACAAGGGACACTGTCGCCTCGGCGTTGTGCTCGCCAAAGTCCGCGTACATGAGCATCTCGAACGAGTGGTTGTCGCTGCTCGGGCGTGCTGTTCGAAAATGGTAGACCGACGACCGGCGCGTCACTAGGCAAGCACGACGTTCAAGATGCGAGCACCATGAAGGTAGGTACCGTTTTGGAGCGAGCCGACTTGGTAGTAATAGCGCGTCTTGGGCAGGAGGTTGGACAGCGTGACATGGTATGTGTACAGCGTGTAGTGCTCGTCGGCGTAGTACGAGGCGACCGTGGCCATGTGGGCAGTGAGGCGCGACGTGTTGTGAAATAGATGGTCGGCGACCCACACCGCGCTGTCGTTGATGCGGTGGTACGTAGTCCACGAGACGGTCATAGCCGTGCCAGGCTCGACGCCCGCGTACGCCAAGTGCAGCTGCTGCGGTCGCACGTGGAGCTCGACCATGGCCTGCGTCTCGGGCCCTTCTTCCATCGACGCCGCTGCCGAGGCCGGCGTCGCTGGCACGACGAGGTAGTGGAAGAGAAGCAAGCCGGAGAGGAGCGCAAGGAGAAGCACGGCCAGCGCGAGCGCTCGGCGGCGCACGGGCGCCACTGCAGCCGGCGTCGGAGGTCGTTCGATGGCCCCGTACATCGTTTGCGCAAGTGAAACCTCCAAGCTGCCAAATGCTGCAGATTCAATACTATAGTTTAATTAAGTGACGCAAATCCAAAGAGGCTTGGCGGTGCGAAAGGTGAACAACTGGCATTCGGTGTGAAATGATTTTTTCACGTGTGAACCGAACGTTAGTTAGTCGATGTTTCGACTTTAGTTGCAACTTGCAGATGCCAGAGGCGAGCGAGCAACTGGCCGAGCGCGCGTCGACAGTTGAAGAGCTCTGCAGCTGCATTTCAGCAGACGTAGCTGCCGCACGATGAGCCGCCGATGACACAGCAGTGCGTCTTTACACCACAGCAAAGCTTGACTGCAATGCCCCCGGACTGGTCTAGCGCTGCCCCAGTGATTCCCGTGTACCTTGACGCAGACGGCGAAAACTCGCCAAGCGCTTTGCAGCGAGGCCAGCGCAAGGCGCGTGCTAGACAATGCTATGGTACGCTACGTAGAGCGCTCGTGCTGCTGGAGCATTGCATGTCCTCGTCCATCTCCATCGTCAGTGACAAGGCTCGACACGTGCAAGCGCCCGAGGCTACAAGCTCTACCGGGTACTATTCGTCGCTCATGGCGTCGGCTCGAAAGGATGCGCCTGCCAAGGGTGGTCGGAGCATGTTCAGGCGGCAGTCCGCCCATCCCAAGGGCCCGCACCGTCACCTAGCTTCACGGCGCGCGGCGGCGAGGACCAGCTACATGAACACACCTCTCTGTATAAACGCGTTACGGGCGCGGACCTTAGAGCTCGCGCTCGCCGAGGATGTCGGTGATCGCGATGAAGGCCGAGAGCGAGTTGGCCGGGTAAGTGGCGTAGTCGCGCTCCGTCGAGTGCGACGGCTTGACGTACTGGCGCGGGACGTCCGGGTAGCCTTCGGGGCTCGTGTACTTGCCGGCCTGGTGGGCGGTGTTGCTGCGGCGCCACACGGCTTCGTCCTCGAGGCGGTTCTTGGCGCTCGTGTGCGCCGCTTGCAGCAAGTCCTACGCGCCGCACATAAGCCTCTTCATACGGTCATGATTCGGCGCCCTACATGCTCCTCGGCGGCCATGCGCTCGCGGCTGGCCATGAAGCTGTTGATCAAGTTCGAGATCGGGTTGGTCATCGTCGTCCTGCCTGCCACAAGTTGTGCACTGCGCCCCAGCGAAGGTCGGTATACAAATTCCAAGTCAATTAAAAAGCCACTTTCACGGCCAATAAACATCGCACTTAAAAGAGGCGCACTTGGTCGGCCGCCGCTACTCAGCGACAAGAGAAGAGGAGAAGACGTGTATAGATGAGAGGATGATGGCTACAACGCTGTCGGTCAACTACATAGTACAGTGCATACACACAATCGCTCAGAGGACGACCCGCGAGCGCTGCGTCACGGCGCCTTGGTCAGCTACGACAGCCACGGCGATGAGCTTCCATACAAGGGCTAGGGTTGCCGCTGCTGGCAACGGCAAGCGAACCTTCTTCGCCTTGCCTGCGGCGGCTTGGGCGTTCATGAGCAGGGCCGCGACGGCTGCGTGACCATTCTCGACGGCAACGTTCAGCGGCGTCCGTCCCATCTGCAAAATGAAAGATGAGCGTAGGTGTGAAGCATGGGCGTACGTTGTCGGAGCGGTGCGGGTTGGCCTTGGCCTGCAACAGAAGCGTGACGACCTCGGCGTGCCCGGCCTCGGCAGCGACCCACAGCGGCGTCTTGCCTTCCTACGCAGCAATCACTGAGCGACAGTGGAAATGGTGCATAGCGGACTTCGTTGGGGCGGACGACGTCGGCTTTCGCCTTGAGGAGCAAGAGGACGGTGTTCGAATGCCCGTGCTGCGCCGCCACAAGCAGCGGTGTTGCGCCATCCTAGCCACATGCTCCATATTGTGGCTAGGATTCCGTGATCGTACTCTTCGGGATCGGTTCACGGTGGCTTGTGCGTTGAGAAGCAGGACAACCACATTGCGGTGGCCGTGGGCGGCGCCGAGGAGCAACGCCGTCGAGCCATCCTACGCAACAACAAGATGTTGAAGCATCTGCGTAAGATTCAGTGACGTACGGTGCTTGCTGCATTGACACTGGCACCGGAGCGGAGAAGCAGGGCGACTACGGCGTCATGGCCGTGCTGGGCCGCCGCATGCAAGGCCGTCGCGCCGTCCTACATTCCATGGCTTGAGCGTGATTACGCACAAAAGGCGACGCACAATCGTTGATGTCGTTAGCGACGCGTCCGAAGCGAGGAGGAGCGAGACAACTGCGTCATGCCCGTTCTGTGCGGCGACAAAAAGAGGTGTCGAGCCGTCCTGCGTCATTGGTTACGATAGCATCCGAGACGAAACCTCTACCTGCATGAGCTCGTCGACGTCGGCACCGGCGTCGAGAAGCAAGGCGACAACGGCGTCGTGGCCATTCTGCGCCGCGGCGTACAAGGCACTAAAACCGTCCTGCATAAACGATAAGAAATGAGCTATCGAGCGTCGATTCGAACCCGAAGTCGCTTGGAAACGTCGGCGCCCGCACCAAGAAGCAGCGCCACGGCACCTGCGTGGCCGTTTTGGGCGGCCACGTACACGGGTGTCGCGCCCGCCTAGTCGGACAACGCGTCCACTCTGCACCCAGAGTCGCAAAAACGTACGTCGGTCGTCGTCTCGATCGGCGCAGACGCTTGAAGAAGGAGCCCGAGGATCGCGTCGTAGCCGTACTGGGCGGCCACAAACAATGGCGTGGCTCCGTCCTGCGGACAATGTCACGTCAGTAATGCGCGGCACACGAAGCGGGAGCCACCTTGATGGACACGGCGGGGTCGGCGCGGCGCTTGACGAGCTGGGCGACGATGGCTACGTGTCCTTGCTGCGTCGCGACGGCCAATGGCGTCGCACCGTCCTGCAGCGTTGTCTGAGCCAACACCGAGATATTATGTGAGTACCTTGTTGGCGCAATTGGTCGTCGCCTTCGCCTGCAGTAGCAGGAGCACGACAACGATGTGGCCTTCAAAGGCGGCGATCCACAGCGGCGTCCGACCCGCCTACGGCGACGCTCTACATGCCGGCCAAGCGTCGATAGAAAAGGTACGCTGTCTCTCAGCTCCAGGTCGGCGCCAGCGGCAATAAGCAGCTTGACGACAGCGTGGAAGCCAAACGCAGCCGCAATGTGCAGCGGTGATGCGCCATCCTATGTAACAGTGCATGTCGAAGCGCGCCCAATACCATCGAGTCGGACCTTTGTGCACCGCTGCACGTCGGCGTTCGCAGCGAGAAGGAGCGCAACGACCTTGTCCCAGCCGTTCTGCGCTGCCACGTACAGCGGCGTCCAGCCATTCTATTTGAGTAGCATGGAAGGCGTCGAGACGGCGATGCGCACCTCGTCGCACTTGTTGACATTGGCGTCAGCCTCAATGAGGAGGCTCACGACCGCCTCAGCGCCGTGGAAGGCAGCTTTCAGCATTGGCGTCCACTCCTACGCATTACGTTGGTCGCGCGCAAGGCAGAGGGTCGTTGCACCTGCAGGAGGACGTCCGGGTCGACACCGTCGTTGAGGAGTTGCGTCGCGACCTCAACGTCGTCAGCTTTGGCAGCGTCGAGCAGCTGCGCCTCGGGCTACATACACATGAGCAGACGGCTTAGAGGCCATCGCGTACGGTCAGTAGTCGGGGGCGTGGCATCGGCGTCGGCGGCGATTGTCCTACGTGGCAGCCCCAGGTTTTGCGTGTCTTTACGGACGTCCGGAAAACGCCATCCGGCGCCATCCCCTTCATGTGACCCGGGGTAACAAAGTTGCCACCAACCATAAGTACATGAGTGCCCCGGGGTATCGCCACACCGTCGCTTCGCCGAGGAGCAGCCAGCGCTCTGTCGTTAGCTTAAGCGTAGTTGTCCGCGGCAGAGGTGACAATCGACAATTCTAATTCTGGTAGGAACATTTAGTAGTAATAATGGACAGCTGTAGTCGACCATTCACTTGATAGCTTGATATTACGTGTTGCCAGTGAGGATTCAAACAATGTGGAGCCGTAGGAGCAAGGGATCCACGAGCGCGCAGACTCGTCAGACGCCTACCTTGAGGTAGCTCTCAAAAATCTCCAGCGGTTGGGACTGGGGTCAAAAAGCAATCGCAAAGACTGCTAGGTTCAACATTTTTCTAACTGCACATGGCACACGATCAAGTAAAGTCGAGTTTCTCGACGGGTAACCCGGCATCAATCGCTCAAGATCATCAAAGCGTCGTAGCGGTCGCTCGTCTCTTCGCCGTCTATGGCGCTGACATCGAGAGGAAAACCATCGACGCTGTCCATGGATGCTGTCGTCGTTCGGTGCGCGACGAGGCGGCTCGATGCCCGGGTAGACGGGTGAGCACCCGAGAGAGAGATCGGCGGTGCCTCACGGCGTGATACCGTGTAGCTGGGCGTCGTCGAGGGACCCCAGGCAGCTGTACCACTGGCCATCGCAGCGACACCATCGACCAAAGACACATCGTTGGCGACAGCATCGACGTCGTCATCGCCCTAGCCAGAGTCCTCGATATCGTTCTCGAGATAAACGCCGTCGCTTGCCGCTGGACCATCTGTAGTATATTTCCTTGCAAATGGCGTACGACCTCGCGCGAGCTATGACTCGGCGAGTGGGGTCCACCACGGGATGGATCTCTCCGTACGCAGCTCACTCCCAACGACCAAGTGCTGGTGCCAACTCCCACGCATTCAGGCGTAGCGCTACGTATGCGAAGTCTTTGTGTCATAATGAAGATAACGCGGAACACGTTCATATATATATAAATGGCGTGTGCCATGTAAAAGCTCGTCATGATGCCGCAAACAGTGCAATCCGGCATCACTTTGGATACGAGTTTCGAGCGCTGTAGGCCGCGCACGACGGTGCAACTTGGTGCTCCGTGCTATACAAAGCAAACTTAATCACTCTACGACGTAGGAGCCATTTTGTATTTTGACTGACGTTGGCCATCAAATTGCAAGCGGGAACGCACCGCGATAGCTTGCGTGATATTAGCCACATTATCCGGATATCCGGTTCAGCATTGCCAGACCCATGACCAGGCCTCGCGATCGATCACTTTGCGTTCGAAAACGAAATCGTCCAGCCTTGGCACAGTAGTAGAGGACGCTTTGGAGAGTACGGAAAGCGAGATCGCGTCGACGTGCGAGGCGGACAGCGGTCGCGAGACGCGATCCAAGATGCGCGCCAAACTGAGATCGTAGTGCCATCTGAGAGGCACAACGCACTCCAGACTAAGCTCGTAGTGCCTTCTTAGCGGCATCACGCCGCGACGCTGACGTCGCTTGCCGACAACATCACGTTTGAAATGGGATCGCCCAAAGTTGGCACGGTTATAGAAGACACTTTGAAGAGCAAAGCAGACCGCGATTCGTCATCGCTGCAGGCCTACGACGCATGCAATGCTCGAACACAGATGTAAATCGCTTTTAAAACGTTAAAAACGCAATTGACTGTATGTATTGACACGCCGTAGGCGTCGTCTTCTGCACTTGTAGCGACGGTCTCCCCATCCAGCGGAACATGATTGCGATTCCGAGCAACATTCATGGAGTTACGACGTCCAGCACATTCTGTGGAGCGTTTGGACAGGGTTGTAGCTCACAATTCTCGGGCTTCCGCACTCGCGGCGATCTATTCTCACATCGCGTGTGATGGGATTCATAGGTCTTTATGTGGAGGAGGTCGCAAAAAACAATCGATTCCTATGACGTGGCACTCGGAGAATCTCCCATCTTGGCGCAAATGCTCAGTCGTGTAAAAACAAGTGTAAAAGCGAGCACGACAAAGGCGAAACGCAGTGCTTTTACAAGAGAGTTGTGGAAGCCTTGGGCGCTGCTCATTCCGCAATTTGCGCTCCAGGGCCTCGGCCGCACAGCACCGCGTCGCACGGCAGGACGGTCGCAAGCGGGCGTCCTGTCGACTGTGGACGGTGACACTCGTGTGGCCGAGGTCCTTCTTTCGCCACGAATCCGTGTAGTGCAGGACGTTGGCTCGCCAGGTAAGCAAAGATCGCTGCGTCCTCATGCAGCAGGCGAATTGGCTTGGGTTTGCGTCGTTGAGGATCGATGATCGCCAAGCTCGATTGGTGGTATCCGAAACATGCTGAGCAGCGTCGCAGCCGTCGACGCGCCGAGGCAAACGTTGACAGCGACAACCTCGAGCGTTTGTGCGAGGAGTGCGGACGATGGCCCCGACCGTGTTGCGCTCGTGGCGTCGTTTCGGAGCATCCGGATAATGGTACCGGACACCAATAGCAGGGGCAACACATTCCAAAATGGGCGCCGCGACGAGACAAGCCACGCCGCCGCCGGCGCAACATTCGGCGCTGCGTGCGCGGCGTCGCGTTCGGAGTATGCTCGTCATCTCGCGGCGCAGAGCCAAATGGCGCTCATCTCGAGCGCCTCACGCTTGACGTCCTACGGCTTGCACACGGCAGCCAGCATTGAGACCGCTGGCGCGCGGCGACCTCTCGCCCGCCGCGAACCTCTCACTCGGCGGCGCGTCAGATGCGATCTCTACTCGATTTCAATCGAGTGGAGCTTTCGGCCCTCAGCAGCCACATACAGTGGCCGTGCGCCTATCGTCCTCGTCGTGCTTGGCACTTACCTTGTTCTCCAGGGCGTCGGCGCTGCGCTCGTTCGTGTTTGGCGCAAGGTAGCACACGTCTTTAGCGCTACTTGGGTCTCACAGATTGACTAGGTTCCGTGTTTGCCCATGACACACGAGCTCGAGATTTTTGCGCTTTTTCCGCGCCTTCTCGTACTCGCACCACGTGGCCACGACGCTCGAGACACCAGCAATTACCAACGTTTAAGGCGACGACGCCGACATTGACTGCTGTACACCAAGACGTAGAAGGCCGCTTGGAGGCGCAGATTTGTGAAAATCTCGCGCGGAAGTGAGCCGCCGACCCGAGCGCGACAACCAAGAAGGTCGAGAACGACAAGGAAGAGCTCGAGGCGCGTCGGCAGCGCTTGTTGCGCAAAAACATGCGTTGCTTGGACCTTGTCGTTCGATCGTCGGTGACCTCGGCTAGCTCTCGACGCTCGTACAGGCTCGCCAAGCGGGCCGAAAGGCAATACACAAAGCACCATGTGACGACGAAGGCGAGGACACCAAGGCGATCTTGGATGCATCCACGCCGATGCTCTTGTCGATTTGTGTCGTTCGCTTTGAAAATGGCACCGAACGTCGCATCTCGCCGCTGTCGGCGCTGGCCAACGGCATGCAGCAGTTTCCCGACACGATTGCGTTGACGCTCATGGCCAAGTGCGATGCGTTTGGCGCACCGGTCATGCACCGCCACAATGAGATGGAGGCTGACAGAGGCATGCTGGCGCACCTCGGCGCGTGCATCGAGCACTGCGCCAAGACAGAGATCCTCTCGCGCGACCACGTCATGAGCTTTTTTTCTACGAAGAAGGCTGCACTTATTTTCTACAACATGTGCTCGATGGTCAACGACGCCAAGGACCTCACGCTGTACCTCGACACCATCTGCCGGCAGACGCTGCTGCTCGACTCGATTCCTGAGTGCCGCACGGTTTCGTCCAAAGCCCGTGGTATGCTCGTCAAGGGCCAGAGCCACTTCCCGCACCTTGTGGAGAGGTTCGTCGTGGCGCTCGAAGATGCCCTTTGCAACGCACTGTCCGAGGTCCGCCGCGCGGCCGGTGATACGTTGGATGTCTTCCATAAGAGTATGGACTACCGCTCGATCGACGAGCTCACTCCACGCCTCCTCAAGCGTATCACGTCGGTAGACGACCTCGTCCAAGAGTGCTCAAGGTCAAATCACGCAAGGTGCTTCCGTAGGTACCTCGCGCCACGCCTGCTCACGACGCCAACGGCCTTGGCCAACGTTCACGCAATCATG